TTTAAGATAGAAGATTCGCTGGAGGCCCTGGGTGCACAGTGTTCTCAGCTCTGGAAGTTTGCCCAGGAGTCGGGACAGGTAGTTGGGCCGGGTGGCCTCAGGGGTACTTGTGGAGATGTGATCTCTGAGACACGTGATCAGGTGGTTTTGGAGGTCTTCGATCCGTTTGGGTTCTTTCAAACCGTGTCGATCTGTTGGTCACAAGTGAAGGTTAGAGATCTGTTTGGGATAAAACATTACATTTCTGTAGTCTGTGTAGAACAAAGTCATGTACCTGTGATTATGACCAGTGAGGCAAGACAGGAGAAAGACGATACGTCCAAGTTCAAGCGGTGTAAACTCTGAGAAAACTCCATAATGGAGTCAATCCAGTCGCCAAAACTTCGTACGCACTGCGTCCGGTGCAGAACCACACCATTGCAGAAAATAAGTTTGTCTGTCTCAGGGTTTGACCTAAATGTAAAGAGATAAATAGATGCTTAGTTACCCCAAATAGTACTTCTATAATGCTAAATTCAGTGTCATATGAACTGACATGTACCTGTAAGCTAGCCTAAGTATGAAAAGCTCAACAAATGCTGACTCCAGAAGAAGGTCTTGGTCCTCCTTACAGAAGGCACTGAATCCAGGGATGTTTCCAGCCCACTTCCTGATCACATCCATTGACCCTGTTAGCAGGTCATAAAACTGCTGTATGTCGTTGGCATCCTCCTTCTCAGACAATCCGGATACCGATTCCTGATACTAAACAATTACCAAAAATACAATATATTAATTGACAATACTATTAAAACAGCACTATAGCTTAAAATTTTGCTGATAGATTGTCGTGAAGTGTGGTCTGTCCTCACCTTTGAATAGTCCAGATTTCCACTGGCAGGGTTTGAGTCAGTATGGGCAGTGACGAGAGAGGCGATGATGTTTACAGGCGAAGACACCGACAGTGAGTCCTGAGCAACTTTTGGCTTGGATGGCAGACGACCTCTTCTACCTTTCAGGCTGTCTGTTCTCACAACTACACAGAGTCACAATAGGTACATTTATTAAAACTGCTTTGAGGGTATGTGGGTATTTTAAATTCTTTAGTATTTTGAATTAATTGGTATTATGTTCTTTTTTTATTTATTAATATAATATTTGTAAGTCTCACCTTCTTTCACCATCCCCACAGCTAGGCACTTTTGGAAGCGGCAGAACTGGCACCTGTTTCGCCGCCTTTTGTCCACTGGGCAATCTTTGTTGGCGAGGCAAACATACTTGGCGTTTTTCTGTACTGTGCGCTACAAAATCAAAAAGGAAACCTAGTCAGTGAAATAAGCCTGATTTCCCAAATCCAAAATTCTGAGGCGAGTTGACATAACATGACATGATTCAAACGTATAATAATTTATCAGCAAGACAAGTACAGTACGCTCACGCTCTCTCACCTTGAAAAAGCCTTTGCATCCTTCACAAGTGCGCACCCCGTAATGCTGACAGGAAGCGTTGTCTCCACACACTGCACAGCGCCCTTCGTTTCCTGTGGGGCTCCTTACTTTAGGAGACAGGTGTCCGTCCATCAGTCCTGAGCCATCCCGACTGCCCTGCTCCAGGCTGAAGGGGAGTGGAGAACCGTGTTGCTGGGACTGGGAGAAGGGATCCTGATCTGGGAGTTGTGGCTGCAGCTGTCCCAAAGGAGAAAGTTCGTCGTGTCCAAACGTGAAGAAAGTGGCGGCCTGGTTCAGAGGCTTCTCTGAACCCCAGCAGCCCTCATCGGGGGAGCAGGGACCAAAGGTGCTGTCCCAGGCAGACATGGGCTGAAATCCCGGGGTAGAGGGTGAGGGCACAGATGCTGGACTTCCAAAGCAGTTTGACCCACCTGGAGAGGACAACGTCTCGTCTAGGTAGCTAAAAGCGAATGTGCCTGGGTAACAGCCATATACCTGGAGGTCGTCCAGCTTGAACGAGTCCTGCCTGGAGGTGCCGCCCGGACAGGAAGAAGCAGCACCTGTGGCGATCTGGCATGAGTAGGTATCAAACTCCCCAACGTAGCCTCCGACCAGAGAGGTGATGCTGGGTAGGGAGGGTGCGGAGAGCTGGTCCCGCTGGTCAGTCACATCCATGGCCAACCTGGAGGTGAAGTCAGGATTCAAAAACTCTGAGCTGAAGAGGGAGCTCTCATAGGTCTGGACTCCATGTTGACTTTGAACACAGGTCATTTCTGTAGAACAGAACCACAACATCTACTTTTCAATACCGTAGATATTGCTGCTGAAACGTCAAACTTTTCAAGAGTTGAATAATGCATCCTGACCTATACCTAGATAGACTTACTCGACGACCAACGAGTCTGTATAGACACAGTTCTCTGAAGTGCCTTTTGAGATTTCTGAGAAAACTTAGAGAGCCGTCTGGCTGGAAAGGGCAGCCATGCTTATTGTGTTACCACATTAAGGACGTCAGACGAACACGACACGTGGGTTGCCTCACTGAGAGGGTGTTTATGTTTGTGAGTGTGAGTGGGCGGTGTATGTATATGGAACTTTTTTAAGATAGACTCAAATTTCCCCTGCAAACTCAGACATAGTGTTCCATAAGGTAAAGATAAATTAAGAAAAGAAAAAAAAACTGCAGGCAGTGAAAAAGTGCTTACATTCATTCATACTACATTCTAACCACGTGGATTCAATCTTTAGACCGGCAATGGAAATATTTGGAAAAAGTGCCACTATCAACTTGTTTTAAAAGAGTAATTCTGCAGAAAGTACTTTAATGAGCTTGGTAAATGCATAAGATAATTATGGCTCAGCAGTTTGACAGACATTCATGACCTTGCACCCATTAGAACATGGCACCTGATGATCATTTGACCCCTAAACATTTCATTGTCTCAATATGTTGACTAATACACAAGTCAGTGCATTAGCATTAGATATGTTTCTTAAAGTCAAAAATGTCTAGGTGGTGTAACTGTCTAACAATTGTTAAAAAAGCTTCATTTAAAAAAGAAATGCTGGGCATAAGTAGTTTAGCATAATATTTTATAATTATTTGTTTGAAAATAATCACTAAAGCAATTTTGTTTTAGAATAGTATTCATATTGTGAAAAAAAAACAGTCAGTGTGGGATAACCAACATGCAGGAAGCCAAGTCATTTTGTTTACAAAATAATAATAATAATAATAAAAGTAAACAAATAAGCAGACAGAACCTCCTTCAGACCCTGAGTGTCAAGGTCATCACTGTTATTATTTTTTCACATCGTTTGTGTGTGTACACTAAAGGCTACACCACTTGACATTTCTTGAAAAAAAACAGTCAGTGTGGGATAACCAACATGCAGGAAGCCAAGTCATTTTGTTTACAAAATAATAATAATAAAAGTAAACAAATAAGCAGACAGAACCTCCTTCAGACCCTGAGTGTCAAGGTCATCACTGTTATTATTTTTTCACATCGTTTGTGTGTGTACACTAAAGGCTACACCACTTGACATTTCTAGAGTAAATCAAAATGTGTAGTAAATTAACGTTTTTTTTATGTGGATACGATGATATCGTTTCTTAGAACTTGTTTAAAATTACATTTTTCCTTTCTCGTTTTAAATCATTATTTGTCTTTTACCTATATGAACCGTTTAATATATTCATGTATCATAAAAATAGCCTAAGTAAAGTCAGGTTTAAAAGGAGAGCGTATGCAGATAAGTAGTTGGCTGTCGCGCGAGCACCTGTTGCAGCGAGACCGTGCGCGTGCAGAAGCTGTAACATACACACACCCTCTCAGTCTATTCTAAAATTTCTTATCGTCTGACATTCAAGTCTTTTTACATTTTAAATTCCAGAAGCCAACTCATTCTGTGCATTCAACTCAATCTAGTTTGTTTCTGAATAACTCGCGCGCTTCACGTAGTAAAGAATACAGAATATTACTAAAGAGCACAAAATACATCAAATTAGCAATATCTCAAAATGAAAACGGTTTCCATTTATAAACACGCACACCTACTTTGAATAACTGCGAACTCATCTGCTGTTCGTGTGCTATTTAAAAGAAGCATAAAACAGAAAGAAAAGTGTTTACTGACTTCCACATTTTAAAAGCAAAAATATTTACGTACCTGAAAATGTGTTGTGGTGAGGGACCTATTATCCGGAGGGTCTGTATTCCAAGTGATGGATAACCATGTATAAACGTCCCCTGCCACGACAAGACGGTTTTCTCAAATTTCTGAGAGCGAGCAGATATATAGCGACTACTTTATTGTGCCGTTACGTCAAAGGTGCATCCTCTCGAGGCGTTCCACTGGCAAATATGGCCATGCAGGGGCGGAGATCCTCGGCAAATCTTTCCGGCTGCGGACCAATCAGAGCGCTCGCAGTCAAAAGACATGACGCACAGACGGGATTCCATTGACGCAAACAATCCGCACGTTTATTGTTCTAATTATAGCAGCGTACTGCTGTGCAACTGGTTGAATTTAGTTAAAAATAGTGAGAAGAAGACACAAATAACTAGCAAATAAGCAAAGACGAGCATCAGAAAGAGTAAAAAGAAACACACAGCTTTTAAAAAAACATTTTAAACAAGATTAATTTAGTTGATAAAATTAAATAAAAAAGTATTTTTAGCTAATTTTAGGTAGCCTATATACATAATTTATTTTGTTAGAAAATTGTTTTAAAAATATATTACATAGGGTAAATACATTATATGTTTTGATTTTATTTATTATTTTTTTTTTATTTCCCTTCAATTCTCAGTTATTATTGCTATACCACATGAGACAGTTTCCTCCTAAAGAAAACCACAAAGAGCCCACGAGGTGAGGGAAGGGCTACACCTGCACAGCCTGAACGTGTCAAAACATGAAAGTCTTCGAAGAAAAAATTAAAACGGAAGTCAGCGCTGTCTGAGTACTACAATACAGGGTGTGCGAGGGATTGACAGTGCCAGTAAATGATACGTCTCTTGTGCCATGCGGTGATTCTCATGCTTTTCCTTTTAACTGGGAATGAAAATCAAGCATAACTTCAAGTCAACAAATACTATTTTATGCAGTTAGTACTTCAAACAGTAAGATTTAAAACAAATAAATACATTTTGATGAACCTATTTTTCAAAGCACATATTAAAATTGCACTCTGTTTATCACAAATAAAAAGTATGTAGTGAAATATTAAAAATTGGAAATAAGGAAATATTGAAAAATACAACTATTCTGAATAATTGAAGAGTCTATGGTGGTTAAGGCCCTGTCTACCATTTCTACAGACTTGTTTATCGATATGGTCAACAATCTGACCTTATGCATGTCGTACCACCATTTCACTTTAACTTGCAGAAATAATTCACATGATGAAAGATATTTAAAGAAAAAAGCTTTATTGATGTCCATTATCTTAGGTTGATATTCTGACCATTAGTAACTCCTGACAAATGTAAAAACATCCTGGGCCTCATTTATAAAGCGTGTGTACGCTCAGATTTGATCTTACAGTGTGCGTACGCTTAAATCCATGCCAATGCTCATATTTGTGAAAACTGGCTTTGACGTGGAAACGTGCTTAGCGTCACGTAAGGGTCAGAGCAGACGTGCGCACTTTTTCTTGTTCGAGTAGGCCTACTGCAGGTTTTTGAAAATGTAAGCTGTTCTTGCAGCTCGCTGTTCTAAATGAAAGAGTTTGGATGATGACTGGTGATATTTTACGTTAATGACATTAATTAGGAGTCGTTTACAAGGCAGAGAGCTGAAACCATCCATTTGCGCACAAGTTCAAGATCATTTGCGATTCATAGATTTCACATCTGAAAGAGATGCTTACGTGTGTTTTCTGTACGTACGTTCATTTTATGAATCACCCGTACACATTTTTGAGAGATGCTCGTAAGATCAATTTTTGAATGGTTTCTGCACAACATTTTATAAATGAGGCCCCCTGTCTCTGCATGTAGTAGGTGTAAATGTTCATACTAGTAAACAATTGTACTCTAGTTGGCTACCTTTTAGGTACAATAAATCAACTGCCAGCCATGAATTTCTGAAGTTGAGGTGCTTGTGCTGCTATTTTAAGGAGCATGTCTTGAGTAGGCTACTACATGATGATAGAAGCAGTCCATATCAGTTGTTTCTTACATAGTACTTTCATACCTGCGACAGACAGTTTCCTCTGCCACATCGGCAAGTATAACCTTTCAGTAAAACACATTGAACGAGTGACCCAGTCTTGCTGAATAGGTTGATTCAAGTGCTGGCAGCCAAGTAACATGAAATGCAGGCCACTGACACAGTATCCAGTTTAGGTATTTAAAAACAAGGACATCAGGTCTTCAAAATAATTCAGAGTAGGCCAGCATGGTGGCAGGAACTGGGTGCTGACTCTTTGGAGATGGCCTGTGCTTGACCTGAGATAATATGTGACCCTGGACCACGAAACCAGTCATAAGGGTCAATTTTGGAAAAATAAAATTGCTTTCCATTGATGTATGGTTCGTTAGGATAGGACAATATTTGGCCAAGATACAACTATTTGAAAATCTGGAATCTGAGGGTGCAAAAAATAAATAAATAATAATAACAATATTGAGAAAATCGCCTTTAAATTGGTTCAAATTAAGTTCGTAGCAATGCATATTACTAATCAAAAATTAAGTTTTGATATTTACAGTAGGAAATTTACAAAATATCTTTATGGAACATGATCTTTACTTAATATCCTAATGATTTTTGGCATAAAATAAAAATCGATCATTTTGACCCATACAATGAACTGTCATTTTTATTCTTTTTGAAGACTAAATATCTTGTACACTTCTCATTTCACTCCAAAATAAATAAAACCCCTATAAATATGCATAAATAAAATGAAGCCTATTTGAAAAATAATTATTAGCCTAGTACATGTTTTTATTTTAAATCATAAAGGCAATGCAACAAATAATCACGATTCACTTTTTTTGTAATTTAAGTACATCACATTACAGTCATGCATAAATTATAATTTATCAAATCAAATTTTATTTTTGTATTTCTTTCCTTTTATTTCGTGGTTAAATGACGTATTTATTGCACATTCTTGGCAGGTTGCAGTTTAAACACGCTTTATCGAGTTGAAGTCTTTTATCGGTATTTCCTGACATTCTCCGTGTTTTTGCCAATTTCCATCTCGCAGTCTGTGTACCCAAAAGTGGCTTTACCTCCTCTTTCCGCCGTTATCACGAGTTGGCATCTTTTTCCTGTTCAAAAACTTTTGCTCACGAGCCTGTTATTTCTCAAGGCAGCGCGGAATCTCCTTCGTTCTTCCGCCTGTGATGCGCGGACAGGAGCGGGAGCCGCGCCATCGATCTGTGTAGATTCGCTCTTCCTCTTTTGACCGTGCGGTCGGAGAAAAGAAAGGCTGTGTCTTGTCTCAGTCACAGAGACCAAAAAGAGGAAGCTTCGTCAATGACGTTGCAGGAATCCCTCCCGCGCGCGCTGCCATATGGGGAAGCCCAGCCGAATACAGCAGAAGCGCCTGTTGCTAAAGACGCGACAGTTTTCCATTACGGCGTCCATTTACTTCGTGCCATAAGCCGGATCACGAGCTTAATTACTTTTAAAATAAACCTTTTAGGGACTGATGATAAGGCAAACGAGCACCGAGGGACGGTTCCAGTTCAATTATCTTACAGCTGCTGAGCTGTTGGCATATAGGTTGAGCTGAACTTGTCACAAGGGGCGGGATAGGAAAAAGACGACAAGGAAGTGGTCACAAGACCATGAGAAAAACAGTGTGCTGACACGCAGAAAGCGATCAGATCGGAACAGGTGTTACGAGAAAAAAAAAGATAAAGACAAAAAATACACATTTCAAATGAGTAAGAAAAAAAACGTAGGCTATCTCAGAACCCCACACGACACGAAATAACCAATAATTTCGAAAAACACACTCTTTGTCATGTGAAATGCTAGTCACCTTGACCTGTCTTATGTCAAATTAAACAGCTTTTTCTAGGTGAAAAAAGTGGTAATGCAAGTGGACATTTTGGGTGCTGTACTTGTCTAACATTTCATTTCAAAACATGGGCATTATTAGGGGATTGGTCCTGCCTAACCACTTTCACTGTTCTGGCAAGACTTTCCATTATAGTTGTTGGAATGCTGCTGTGGGGATTTGCACACATTGAGACAGAAGGACATCAGTGAAGTCAGGCGCTGATGATGGGTAATGGATCTGGCTTGCTATCTGCGTTTCGATTCATCCCAAAGGTGTTCAGTGGGGTTCAAGTTTGGCCTTTGTGAGCCAGTCAAGCTCTTCTGCATCAGACTCTACAGGAGGATCCTACATGAGTTCCACGTTTAAAGCTGAGCTCTTCCATACTACTGAAAATGTTTGTCTAAAGAGATTATATACTAGAGTTTATTCAACTGTTAGCATTAGAGGAAAAACCCAAACCTTTTCATTATATGGGGTGTGCACATTTGTTAATGCTGCCATGCTGCGTATTTATCAAAAGTAGTATTAATTTCTTTCGGTTTAAATCCTTTTTTAATGGACAAAATATGTGAACGTTTTTTTAAATAATTTTTATTTTGAACTTATTTTTCTATACACTGTACATATTTTTTCTCTGTTGTAAAAAGATTTTAAACAATGAAATGTCGTCATTCTGTTGGATGCTTCAAATGTTGTGTCTTTCAAGTTTCACTCAGTAAAAATAAAAAAAATTAAAAAAAACTTAAAATCACCTATTCAGCAGAGGCATTGCTTGGTCCTTTCAACAGAATGCGCATTTGCATTAGCTGGAAATTATATATATATAAAGATATAATCACACAAAATATATCACATAAAGACTTTTACACTGTTACAAAAAAAATCTATTTAAAATAAATTATGTTCTTATTAACTAAAAAAATGTATTATGGTTTCCACAAGAATATTAAGCAGCACAACACATAGTGATTCACATAGTGACACAAAAGTATTTTTTAACACTGATAATCTGAAATATTTCTTGAGCAAATTAGCATAATAGAATTATTTCTAAAGAATCATGTGACTCTGACTGGAGTAATGGCTGCTCAAAATTCAGCATTTCCATTACAAGAATCAATTAAACTTTTAATATATCTAAATGGAAAACAACTATTTTTAAATTGTATTAATAATTTACAATATTATTGATTTTACTGGGGTTTCTTTTATTATTTTTTACTTGTGTCTAACAGAGAGACAGAAGGCCCTAGGCTCGTTTTCACTATTGCTCTCAAATCACATATATTATGGGACATTATGTACTACCTGATGAAGGCATAAAGGGTTGAAATGTTGTTTGTTTACTATTAAAATAGAGTTTGAGAGCATTGTGGCAGTGTGCTGTCCTTTCATTCTTTTTTTGAAGCCCTTTGATCTTTTGATCATGCACCAGCTCTAAAGTGTTTTTGGATGTGCACATACCATTTCGTTATGCACTATGGAACATCATGCACTGGTCATTTTACCATATAGCACGTATGCCGTACATACCCGGTTGCTGGGTTCAGAGTCAGGCACCTGTTGTTAAACCAAAGTGATTTACATACAGCTGTTCACTTTCAAGAGTTAGCTCCCCCTGTCTGTATGTCAGTAACTGCATCATGTGGCTCTCCACACTGCAGCATGCCTAGTAGAGAGCCTTGAACGCAGCCTGGCTTTTGAATCAGATCAAGTGCATATCATCCTTCTAAATAGCCAGTTTGCCATCTTGATTTAACTGTAGCTTAGCACACTGATTATGTAATGATATGCAAATGTGCCAAGATAAGGTCCCTTGACTTTGGCTGGATCTTGAACTTGACCTTGAGAGGATATTGACCGCCAGCACAAGTCCCAAAAGGCTTAGGCCGAAGCCAGACAGCTGCCTTGTGCCTTCGAGCTGAAGCTATCAAATGTAAACCACCAACTTGATCACTGTAGTTTAATTTCAACTTTTTAATGAGGACATGTGATGCTTTTAAAGGGACAGTTCACCCAAACATTCTGACATAACCTGAATAACTGGACATGCTTCTCAATATAGAGTGCTGCAATGATGCATATTTTATAGGCCAACCTGGAAGTTAACATCACCCTGGTTTTCTCAACACAAACCCAACAGGATTTTTTCATTGGCTTTTGGATTATTGCAGAAAAAAGGCCATGTGACCAAAAGCTATAACTGAACAATGCCACTGTCACATGACTTCAAATGTCATCACCATTAAGCCTCCGACAACTATTCCAATCTTTATTTAAAAGCATTTTTGCTTAAAGTTTAAATTAGAATAATTCTCAAGAGCATGATTATAAACACAACGAGGCTGTGAAAGTGGACTAGTGAGTTGAATTTACCTGTTTAGCATGATTATGTTTAATGTCCCCCATAACATCTGTTGTCCCGCTTAGCCACTTGTTAGCAACCACCTTTTTGGAGACAAGTAAAAGCTGTAAAGAAATCACAAGAGGGTATTACTGATGTATTATTTGTATTGTCAAATAAAACATGAAAATATCTTGTGTTAACCACAGACCTTATTTCAGTAATTTAAACAAATCCAACTGACTTCAGGACGATGGAAACAGAAGTGCTAAAATGCTAACTCGTTTATGGGTTTTTGGCCTACAAAAATATGTTAACCCTGAATTAATTTTCTCTATCGAGAATGAGGACTGGGGATTGTCAAGCTCCAAAAAAAGCAAAGTTCACCATATAAAAGTAGCCCATTTGACATTGTCAATCCAAGTCTACATTTTTATGAACAACAACAGTAAGTCTTTATTCACACAAGTCTTGACATCTGCACTAGCTCTGATTAGCGTATTCATGAGAGAAATGATAATGCCCAATTCGTAATGAATTATTTTTTTTCATGACTCATTTGATCAAAATTGGTCTGGATATTTCTAATCTGGTTCTTGTGTTCAACTCACTCAAAGATCTATCGGCAACATTTAACAGCCCACTGAAGGGGACGATTACAAAGTAACAACTAGAAATTTGGTTTGTTCCTTTTTGACTTTTGAAATTTACCATGTCTTTAAAAGTAATTTATAACACACAGGCCATCTGGACCACTTTTGCTTTTTTGTGTTTGTCAGCTCTCTAGTCTTAAAGGGTTAGTTCACCCACAAATTTAAATTCTGTTTTTAATTACTCACCCTCATGTTGTTCCAAACCTGTAAGACCTCCGTTCATCTTCAGAACACAAATTAAGATATATTTGAAATCCGAGAGCTTTCTGACCCTGCATAGACCTCAACACAACTGAAATGTTCAAGGCCTATAAGGCAGTAAGGACATTGTTAAAATAGTCCATGTGACATCAGTGGTTCAACCGTAATGTTATGAAGCTACAAAAATATATTGTTGTGCACAAAGAAAACAAAAATAATGACTTTATTCAACAATTTTTTTTTTCTGTATCAGTCTCTGCCGCACTACAGGAGAGTACCACGAGAGTTACCTTTCTGGGCCTTGAACGTGTCAGTTGCATTGCTGTCTATGCAGGGTCAGAAAGCTCTTGGATTTCATCAGAAATATCTTAATCTGTGTACCGAAGATAAATGAAGGTCATACAGGTTTGAAACAACATGAGGGTGAGTAATTAATGACAGAGTTTTCATTTCTGGGTGAACTATCCTTTTAATTAACTTCCATTCTATACACAAGTATTCAGGATATTCTTCAAAAATGCATTATGAACTGGACCAGCATAATTGTGTTGGAATCCCAGAGCCTCTAGTGCAGTGCTTCCTAGAGTTCAGGTATTCCTCCAGCAGGCTTAAGTCACCATTCACCTTATCCAGTTCCACTCCTGGCGCACCAGTAAATAGATAGGAGGCCATATTTAAATATAGACTACATAAATTACAGCAGTGAGTTCGTTAGGGGACCACAAGATACTGAGTCTCAGCTGTGTAGTCCGCTGTGAATCCTACTGTGAATTCCTGTTTTGCCTGAAGACACTATCATTGCCCATGAGGTACAAAGATGACATAAGAAACGCGGAGATGTTTGGGTAGGGGGAAGGTGGCAGAGTAGAACGTTCCTTTAAAGCATTCCCAAGTTTGTGATAGCTCACATTCAGAAGAAAAATAATGTTTTATAAAAGTGAAAACATTTGATAAAAGTCATAATGAAATATCCAGGTTTGCATCTAGAAACATCAGTTTCCAAGAACCGGTTATATCTATTGGAAGGTTTTACATAAACAAGGTTATTTTGTACTTTTTAGGACATTACTTAATAGTTCACATTTATGGCGCTTTTCCACTGCATGGTACGGCACGGTACGGCTCAGTATGGTTCACTTTTGGGGGGTTTTCCACTGGGTACAGTACCTGGTACCTGGTACTTTTTTTAGTACCACTTCCGTACTGAGCCGAGTCGTACCACGCAGTGGAAAAGCGCCATTAGCAACTTTTATAGGACTCATAATAGAGCCATTGTAAATCTCATACGCCCTCTGCTGGTGACTTAAATGCAATCGGTTAATTAAAAGACATTGTTTGGATCATCAGCGATGTATTGTAGTGCTGTGACATTTGGTCTGTCATCAAGTAAAGCACAGCTCATAGATGCACAAACTCAATACTCACTCACACAGCTCTCAGATGAGAAGGATGTCTTTCCAAAGCCTTTGACACTTGATTCGTGTGGACATTTAGCACATGGGTTAGCAGCGTTGGTGTGAATTCATAACCATATTAGACCCCCTGTTGTGCCCTTGACGAAACCCTAGCACCTAGAAAAACCTACTGGCTGAAACCAAACTACGCAGAAATAGACAAATAACTTCTACGGCCAAATGTGTTAGCCTAGGCTGATAAAACTGTCGGGCACACGCTACCATTTTAAATCTGGTATCAGTAAGTTCATTTATTTCTTTATTTAATTTTTTTTGAAAGAAACTAATACTTTCATTCAGCAAAGACATGTTAACATTTTTTCACATTGAAAATAAATCTATTAATCAGAGAATCCTAACAACAACAACAAAATCACAGTTTCCATTAAAATGTTAAGCAGCACAACTGTTTTCAACATTGTTAATGATAAGAAATATTTCTTGAGCAGCAAATCAGCATATTAGAATGATTTCTGAAGGATCAAGTGACACTAAAGACTGGATTTTAAATTCCAATAATAATTCATAATATGACTGTTTTTACAGTATTCTTAATCAAATAAATTTAGCCTTGGTAAACAAAAATATGAGTGCACGTTCTCTATATTACGCCTATGTTAATTAATTATCCATTTATATACTTAAAATAGATTTGTATACTTCGTTGGGATAGTGCTAACAGTCAAGAGCTTGGCTCTTAGTAAGGTAGTGTACAACTGGCTAAATTTGCCATAAACACGGGTTTATTTCGCTGTGTTGAATTTCTGCTCGGGACAGCAGAGGGTCAGGTGTCTCGGCTGTGTGAAGCAGTGGGAGACGAACCAGTCCTCAAGTTACTCAGCTACTGGTGCTAATACCCCCCTAGCAGCATTTCTGGATGCATCTGAGTGGAAAGATAGGAGCTGGAAACTGTACAAACACTATAAACAGAGCCATATTCAGCATACCGTCACATGATTTCACAGCGTGAATGCATACACAAACAGCAAATACAGAGAAGAATTTTAGTTACGAGGAACTCTCCATATCCATTCCATATGTTTTGAATCATATGCCTACAGTTTCTGAAATCACACGTCAAAGACTTCACTTTTCTTCCTGCCTATTTACATTCATGTTTATTAGCAAGAAACCATCCTTTAAAGTTAAAGTTCACTCAGAAATGAAAATTCTATCAATTACTAATGCTAATCTCGCTGTACACTTGTATGAATTCCTTTTTTTCAGTGGAACACAAAAATAATGAGCTAGATCTGTCAGCCGCTTTGAAATTGTGTAACTGGATGATTGATTTGATCCACTAGAGCAGTGTTTCTCAACCAGGGGTCCGTGGACCCCTAGTGGTCCTTGACGTAAGACCAGGGGGTCTGTATAAAGTATGAATTTTTGTATAAATTTTGTATATTTTGACATGACGTTCCCATGAAAGAAAAATCCAATATAGCTGATGATATGGCCAAATACTGGACAAGTCAACTAACTTAAATTATACTTGACTGCATTTGGTCCTCACAAAGACACAAATGATACATAGATGAGTCAATTTTGCTCTGGGAGTCCTTGAGGATGGTTCTGAATTAGACTGGGGTCCGGTACACCAAAAGGTTGAGATTCACTGCACTAGAGGGCAGTATCTGATCATGCGTTTGAAATTCCCTCCACAATCCACTTTGTTCATGTTAAAATATGTCTTGTAGGCCCTACTGATTCTGTTGTATCATATCCATGACTTTATATCCTCGTTGTATCTTTGTTTACTTCTTTTAAAGTTCCTTATAGGCCAGTCTAACATGCAACATGCTTTACGTTACTCTTAGACACAATACATTCATAAATGATTGCTGGCCTATGATCAACAGTTTCCCCTGTTGAAATGTGGAAATTAGCAAAGCCTCTCAACAAAATTGCTCATTGTTGAAGAGAAGGCCTGTGTGCCAGATTGCATTTCCCAAATACGTCACAAATTTAAAGAGATCTTTAAATTTAACATTTTAATAATACTTGGCCTTTTCTGTGTGATTTCAGTCCAAGACTTGATTCCCGCTGTGCCTGTTTTCCGTCTCTCACATAAACAGCATTGTCCCTCTGTGCCTATGGCCTCAGAAAGACCTCTTTTGATTGTGCCCACACTCACATTCTCTGGGCTGGTGAACTACCCACTCTCTCAAACGTGTGTAATGCTTGTCTACTGTTTGAGATTTCATTCTGATCTCTCACTTTGCCATATGACTTGAGTGGTGTCTCAGTGACAAAACAATGACTTCCGACTATAAAACCAAGTAAAACAAGTATCTCTACATCTTAAAGTCAATATTAAATCAAAAATGACATTTCTTATGTTTTCATGGAATACTACAGTGCTTATTATAAAAGATTTATCAGTGCACCTAGTTTTTTTACGCTAATGCTTTATTTTAAGGTGTCCTTGTTACACATTACATGTACTTACTATTAAAATAACAAT